TAATAAATTTTTGAGAGACCGGGGTTCCCCCACCAAAAGACTTTTAAAGTGGGGGGGTTCCCACCCCCAAATTTCCCCCGCACGGCAGGGGGGGGTGGGAAATTCTGGGAGTTGAAGTCCACCCATCTTAAAGTTGCTGAGGTTGAGGAACCCTGTATTACAAAATTCTTCCTAGTGGCCAAGTGAAATCTAATTCCCTATATTTAAAACTACTTGTTTCTTGGCGTCTTCTGCAACAACTCTGAACAGGTCTCAAGTCTCCCCAGTCTTCTCCTCCTCGGCTAAAGATACCCAACATCTCAACTGCTTCCTATGAGTTTTTCCTTCCATGATAAATCTGGGTTTGCTCCAATTTGTCAATTGTCCTTCCTACAATGCAAGACCCAGAACTGGACACAATCTTGCGGGTGTGGTCTGACCAATATGGAATAGAAAGGCACTACTGAGTCTCTTGATGCTATTTCTCTTTATAAAGCCAGGATTGCATTTGCCTTTTCTGCAGCTGCATCACGTTCTTGGCTTATATTCATTTTGTGATTCGCCAAGACCTCCACATTCTGTTTGTATCTCCCTTTCCCTATATTGATGCCTTTTTATTTTATTTTATTCCCTATATTGATTGGTTTTTCCTCCCAACTGAATGACTTTGCTTTTCTCCTGGTTGAAATTCATCTTGCTGGTTTCAGTCCATTGTTGTAGCTTGTTAAAATTCTTCTGAGCCTTAATACTGTCCTCTAAGGAGTCTGCTATTCCCCCCCCCCATCTTTGCATTGTCCACAAATTTGATCATCCTGTTTGCACTATCTAGGATTAAACGTTCACCTGTAAGCCAACCTAAATCCCCTAATTGGGAGTGGCTGATTCTGGAGCAATTGGGAGTAGGCCGTTCCCATCTCCAGGGCCGACCATGAATGCCCATTGCAGAATAGACAGGCAATTCCTGTAGAGAGGGACTGTAAGTGAGAAGCACCATTTGGGGTCACATAAACTTACCACGATCAACCTATAAAATCCTGGCCAAATGTATGGCATAGGGACTCTCCAGCATGCTCCAGCTGCCTTTGTAAGAAAACCCTTGCCAAACAACTCTTCGACGACAACGCCTTTCTTCCTCATCTAAGCATGACGGCAGTCTTGGAAACTTGGTGGAAATCTTTTGTGGCACAATGCATTATACACTCTTTCTCCCCTTTGTTGAACACACAAGCAAGGAATCTGAGAGCGGTTTAAGATGCATTCTGTGCAATTAACAACTTTAGCCTCTGTGGTGCTACATTTCACGTTCCTTGGCTTGCTCCTGGATGCCATGAAAGAGGTGAGGCGGGGGACCCTGGGCCAGGATGGCTACATCTTCACCGCTATGAGTGGCAGAGCTCAGGGGCACAGCGGCCTGTTGCCTCCAATCTTTGTCCTCTGGGGGCAAGAAGGAGAAGGTGGGTTGAGTGCAAGGGAGATGAGAACAAGGCTGCCCTGTGTGGAATCATGGGATCATAGGGTTGGAAGGTCCTTAGAGGTCTTGTAGTCCAAGTACGCGCCCAGAGCAGGAATCCTCAGACCTTCCCAGACCAATGGCGTCCAACCTTTGATGCAAACCCTCCAGTGATGGAGCCCTCATGCCTCTGGGAGGCGCGCTGTTCCCCTGCTTCGTTGCTCCTTGCAGACAAACCTAGTTGGGGCAGAGGACAGTTGGATGCTACAAACACAGCATGTCAAAAGGCCCTTTGTGATCTGAGGCACCCCCAGCACAGGAAAAGTGAGACTAGCAGGGGCAAATCTGAGAAAAATGATGCTAAGGCTAAAGGTGGGGGAGCAGAGGCAGGGAAAAGAGTTGGCACTGAAAGTCGCATTAGAAGGGCACTGCTTTCAAGAGGGCACGTGTGCAGAAACAGGCACGTGTTTTCTTTATCCCGTTTGGCTGAGCCCTAGTCAAACAAGTTCTGCGGGGTATTAGAACAAATGGAAAAGTCAACAAAAACTGTTTGAATAAAGTCAAAAGTAGAATTAGTATTCAGCACCTTGGATACAAAAGTGAACGTCCACTTCTGTTTATGTTGGGGAAGAGAGAGAAAGAGAGACAATAGATGTGGATTAAGGGAGAAAGGAAGCGTTTTGCAAGACCCTAAGGCGGTGTTTCTCCACCTTGGCAGCTTGAAGATGGGTGGACTTCAACTCCCCCAATTTCCCCACACCGCCATCCGGCCGGGGGGGGAACGGGGGTGTGCTGCCCCCCCACTTTCAAAAATCGA